AAAGAGTGTTTTCATTTTCTCCCTCGTTCTTAAGACTAACAACAGAATTTTTGTAATCTTCAATTTCTTTAGTACTAAGGAGCTCTTCTTTATTTACTTCCATGTTTTTGTCAGCAGCTTTAATTTGGAGAAGTGTTTCCAGGATATTTTTTTCTGAGGCGCTATTTTTCCATACATACTCTTCCATGTCCGCTTCAGTCTTATATTTTTCCCATTCTTCAGTTTTCTGAAAGGAAAAAAAAAAATTCTGAATTCTGAGAACTAATGTCAAACGACAAAACTTGTGATTATTTTTAGAAGAGATGTTAGCTAAACGTGGTGTGCCGTGGTCAGCACGCTGCTCGTCCACGCTGTGGACTCTCTCGTCCGGCACTGTGTCCACCTGGACCTCCGGCTGCAGGCTGCCCACCGTTACATAAAACTGGCCCATCCACCTCTGTGACTGCTCACTAACTCTGCTCACACCACTTACAATTTTTCTGTCTTGCATATTTCACTTAGAAAGCTTTCCAAACGATCTAAAAACTCGTTTTTTGCAGCCTTCTATTCGCTTAATCCAAACACATTCATCAACATTGCACATTTCTGAGGCTAACAATAATGAGAGTTGAGAGGAGACTTATCTTTGTAACATACTAGTGGACATGACAGGGATGATCGATTATAATAAAATTAAAAATACAAAGTACGTATGCAATGCATGATTTTTTAGTCAAAATGCCTTTAATGTCTTACTGAATTGTTTTGTTATTATCTATTTTCTGTTCCCATAATGGAGATGATTGTTACTAGCTGTTTTTTTCTTACAAAAATGATTACTAGGCTATGGTATAGGGGAAAATGGAAGGTTTATGGTAATATAATTCAAATGTATGATTTAATTGAAAATGTAGCATTCTGTGAGAAATCAAATAGCACAGCTAATGAGTAATATGTTTTGGTTCAAAGAAATGCTAAAACCAGCCACCTTCTTTCCGAATTAACACACATATTCAGAGCTATCGGCTAATTTGGAACCATCTATTATTCTGAGTAATAACTTTTAAAGGTGGTAAGGTATTTTAAGATGTGCATTTGTAGGGCTATCAGAAACAGTATTCTACCTATCTCTGTAAAGTCCCTTGTAAAGAGACCATGGGTCTGAGCACACGGAGCTCCCAGGCTGAGTAAATACGAAGGTACAGGAAGACAGTTTACACCCATGCCACCCTCCCAAGCCTGTCCCATTTTAAGAGCCCATGAAAAGAAAAAAAGCATTGGAAATGTGTCCCTTAGAGGATAAAAAAGAGCCCCACTAACCACAGGCTGGTGCGGATCCACTGAATCAGCAAACCCCATTCAGAGCACTGAGGCCAAGGAAGAGGCTTACCCTACCACAAGGAAACCCTCAACAAGAAATCATCCTATGAATCCTTCAAATTGAGTACTTTTCCTTCAACAGAAATCAGTACAACATAGGGAGTCTTCTTCAACTCAAATTCCTGGGCCAGAGTCAAGTATCTGCACTCACAATTCCTCACATCTACCCGACTTCCCATACGTACTGAATTTATGCCCAGAAAAATGTCCAAGCTTCCGTTCTAGGAAGATCTAGTCTAGTTGAGAATCAATTCTATATCCCTCCTTTTTTGCTTTTAAAGACAAGAGAGACAGAAAGCAAGAAATCACCCCCCAGAGGGGATGGCCACACTGCCCACAATCCCTTCTCCTCCATTTTCCTGTTGGGATTTTAGGCAAGCACACACACGTGCCTGGTGTGTTTTAAGTCGCTGGGTCTGAGACTCAAACCATGGTCATCTACGTGGGAGTCTAGCAATGTAACCATTATGACATCTATACTGGTCCCTCTACATCCTTTATCTGGTAGGGAAACTGGGCTTGGCAGAGGTGGCAGGGATAATTCAAAACAATTTCTTGGTGTGCCCCTCCCACACAACCCTGTTGCAAATAATTTCTTTTTAAAAAAATAACTTAATCTATTATTATTATTCATTTTGATTAGAGAGAGACAGAGAAAGAGGGAGAGAAGGAGAGTGAGAAAGCAAGCTGCCAGTCCAGGACTCAATTTGTGGTGAGCCATGCGTGAGTCCAGAGTCTTGAATACCATGCCACCTGTTGGCCCTGCAAATAATTTCTAATAATCAAACCCTCAATTGTGTCTTTAAAAAAGAACTATTATTTAATTTTATTCATTATTATTATCTTAAATTTGCCACAGGGCACATGTGCTCACCAGAGAGAAAGTGAGAAAGCAAGCTGCCAGGTCTGGAACTCATACTGCGGTCAATCAGGTGGGAGGCCAGCACCTTAACCACCAGGTCACCCTGGTCGTGAATCATATGTTGTTGTTTTTATTTTTGCTATAGGGCATGTGTGCTCACCGGAGAGACAGAGAGAAAGAGAGAGAGAGAGAAAGTAAGAAATCATGCCCTGGGGGATGGCAAATCCCTTCGCCTCCTCTCAGGATTTGGGGCATGCACACACACCAACATATGGTGTGAGCTTCAAGCTGCCGGGTCAAGGACTCTAATCGCAGTCAGCCATGTAGGAGCCCAGCACCTTCTCACTATGCCACCTGCTGGACTGAGTTGTACATTTTTAAAACATGTGACAAACTTATCCTGTCCCACCTAGTTTTTGCTGTTTAAAAATGACACTTTAACCATGTTTTGTCTGGATTTTCTTAACTGTTTCAAAATAGATGCTTACAAAGAGGAAGTAAGCAAAGTAAATCTACTAACAATTTTCGATGTTTCATTTCTCTCCCCCACGTCTGGTACATGCAATCCTATACAGGTTTGCCAAGCTGTGTTAGAGGGTACACACATTGACTCCCTCATCCCTCAAGGTGCCAGGTGAGCCTGGAGCACCAAGAGAAACCATAGCCACCCACCTCTTCACATAACTCAGGGAGCAGTTTCCTGAGTGTGTGATGACATGCGAAGGTTGGGGATTCTGTACTACGTGGTAACGCATGTCTGCAGGAGAAAAACACTTCTATCTGGAACAGGCACTGAAAGAAACAGACTGCGTTCTGCAGGACACCTGGTTCCCGACTAATCCTTTATCTATACCGTAAAGCACTGGGTTCAGCCCAAAGAGTCACGCTCCCTTCATAGCCTAGCTTTAGGATCCAAACTCTGCACAGCTGAATATAAATTCCAAGACAATGACAGCAATGATCCCCTCAAACTGAGGACTTACTATATGCCTGGTTTCTCAATATTTATAGAACAAGTATTGTTTTTCATACTTCTTGCCTCCTGGATAAGGTATCACAGCTTTGATTGAGCTGTCTCAGTCAAACCCTGACTTTAACTTTTGTCCTTTATTCATGACGGTGTGCATATGTGCACAGTGAGAATGAGAGACTGAGTGAGATGAGCACCCTCCATGGCGTCTGGTCATGCCACAACCCCCTTCCTCCATTGTCCAGCCTGCTGGGTCCTGGGCACCTGCACAGGTGCTCAGTGTCTCAGCCTGACCCAGGTGGGGTCTGGCTTCCTTAACTACTAGGCTACTGGGCTGGCCTAAGTCCCATATTCTAAAATTGTTAAGTCATGCTTTCATGCAGATAGACTAGAGGAAGAAAGGAAATCACTCTACAGAGAAAAGAAAACAAGGCAGCCGCCTGCCGAGTGACAGAGCCCTGAGACTAAGAACCCGCCTACTGTCCTAGTTTCAGTTCCTGAACATCACTGCATTCAGCATCCCTGCCTTCACATCTTATTTGCTTTAAGCTTAGTTTAAGTTCCTATGATTTACAACAAGGGGTTTCAACTAATACAGGGGGCTCAGGAAAGAGACCTGGAAAGAGTTGTCAGCCTACCCAGGATAATTCATATCACCTGCGAAAATATACAGACGAAGGGGAACCAGCAGTTTGGCGTAATGGCTATGTCGCTGGACTCCCACGTAGTCAACCGCAGTTCACGTCCTGGACCTGGTGGCTTAAAACTCACGCCAGGCGCGTGTGCGTGCGTGCCCAAGATCCCAAGAGGAGAATGGAGAAGGGATTGCAGCGTGACCATCCCCCCTGGGGGGTGATTTCTCGCTTTCTGTCTCTATGTTTCTCTCTGTCTGTCTGGCGAGCGCACACGCCCTATAGCAAAAACCTCTCCAAAAAAAATATATATATATATACAGACTAAGGATAAAAAGGGAAAAACTGTGAACACTAAATTTAATTCATTAAGACTCGACATGTAGCAGATATTTCTGGAAATACATTATTCCAACAAAAATTCAGTGAAATGCAGTAAAAATGACTCACTATCTGTAAATAACTAGTAGCTGTGTAAGATGTTATACTTTAGTAATTCGGGGAACCAGCAGACGGTGTAATAGTTATGATACTAGACTCCCACACGGCTGACTGTGGTTCGAGTCCTGGACCCAGCAGCTTAAAAATATAAATTTTGAAATACAATTTTTTTTTTTATTGGAGAGATTTTTGCTATAGGGCGCGTGCGCACGTCAGACAGACAGAGAGAGACAGAGAGATCAAAAGCGAGAAATCACCCCCCAGGGGGGATGGTCACGCCTCAATCCCTTCTCCTCCATTCTCCTCTCGGGATCTTGGGTATGCACACACATGCACCCAGCGTGAGTTTAAGCCACCGGGTCAGGGACTTGAACCGCGGTCGACTACGTGGGAGTCCAGCGACATAGCCATTATGCTAACTGCTGGTCCCCTGAAATACAATTTTAATACTTATATAACTTAAACAGTCTTTTGGGATTAGTTTTTTTTTTTTTTTTTAAAGAGATTTTTGCTATAGGGCATTTGCGCTCGCCAATGAGACAGAGACAAAAAGCAAGAAATCACCCCCCTAGGGTAGGATGGCCACACCACAGTCTCTTCTCCTCCATTCTCCTCTTGGGATTTTGGGCACGCGCACACACACATGCGCCCAGCATGAGTTTGAAGCCACTGGGTCTGGGATTTGAAATATGGACTTGAACCATGGTCAACTATGTGAGAGTCTAGTGATATTACACCATCTGCTGGTCCCGTTTTTTAAAAAGATTTTTGCTATAGGGCACATGTGCTGGGACCAGCAGTTAGGGTAATGGCTATGTCGCTGGACTCCCATGTAGCCAACCGCAGTTCGCGTCCCAGACCCGGTGGTTTAAAACTCACACCGGGCGCGTGTGCATGCGTGCCCAAGATCCCAAGAGGAGAGTGGAGAAGTGATTGCGGCGTGGCCATCCCCCCTGGGGGAT